TCTTAACTAAGAAGGTTGCTTGTGAGGACGAGGAACCGAATTTTATATTTTAAGAAAAAGAAAGCATTAATGGTTGTCAGAGCAAAATATCACGCCAATCTGTACAATACTTTAATGTTTCTTGTTTTTAAAAAATCTGATGTAAAATGCTTTAAGAGATAGGAATGACTTCTTGCAATTCAAGACATTTATCTGGATTCCTATTAGGCAAAATGTTTGTTTTGGTTTTTTTAAACAAACAAGCTTTAAATCAAGGTGCAGCGTTCCTAAGCCCATACATCATCATGTGCATCATCAATCTTTTTAAGAGCAAGCATTCAATATGCATTTTATTCTCCTTTTTCTCTCTTTTTTGTTACAATTGCAGCAGGTGTTGCATTTATTCAGTGTATGCTTATCTTAAAAAATATTCAATTTAGGAATATCTAGTAGAGACCTCATGTTTTGTGCTTCCTTGTGTTGTACAATTATGCATCTTACATTGGGGGTACTTAATTTAAGCAGCAGATTAGAATATCTTTGCGCTGGTCTTATAGCCACTTAATTATGTTAAACAACTGTCCCTAACATATCCACTTTGGGCATTAAGGCACCGACGTGTTTCTGATGGTCCCAATAAATTACTTTCAGAAAACATTCTGAAACACCAACCAAGAAAACATATTTAGAGCAAATTGCTTGTCAAGAAGATAAATGCAGCAGAGAGTTGGTGCTCGGTTATTTTCCTCTAACTTTTTCTGTGGCATCCACAAACACACACACAAGCAACCCGCCCTCCTCACACACACAGAGACAGAGAAAGGGTGCCAATTATAGTAACCGTATGATGAGGTTTCTCATACTGAGCCCCATGCTACCTTTCCCTCTAATCCTTTGTTATTAATTATATCTTCAACAAGCCTACACAGTTCTGGTGGTGTCAGCAGCGAGTATCCATGGGAACAGTAGGCTGGTCGCAGCACGCAGCAGTGTGCTCGCTCTGCAGCCTGACAGGCTTGATGCAGAGATGCTTCCAGGACAAGAAAAGCGACTTAGTAGCAGAAACTCAGTGAGGAAAACATAATGCAAAGCAAAATATTTATAGAAATCCTGCATTTGCCTCAGAGTCATATTGGTCAAATATCAGATCAATGGATAAAATATGATGCATTAGCAGTACACAATAATGTAGAAAAATAAACTCAGATCTTAATGTTTCTATTTATACATATTTATGTAGGGTTAAAATTTTTTTTAACTCACTGCTTATTTTGTCTCATAATCAGAATGTACATAGAGATACATTTATCAATATGTTTGCTTTTTCGTCTATAGAATTAACATGTTGCATGGATGAAAATTAGACTGGTGTTGAGCAGCACAATATCTAATATGATCAAAAAAACAATGCTACTAAATAACAAACAGATGCTAACTTATTTTTTTCAGCATATTTTACATGCAAATCATATTCTCCTGTTTGTCAACATTTCACATAAACCACAGAGAAAAAGAAATACTCATAAACTGATCTTTATAAACAATCCTGTTTCTTGCTATAAATAACTTACACAAAAATTGAGTCTAGAGCTAATCTCCAGTTTCTCTTTCAGCAACCCAAGGACAGCTCATTAACTTCCAATTAGACCTTAATGTTCAGTGAAAAGAAGTTATTTGTGTTGTATTGCCCTTGCTGCACTTGGCAGGGATATTAATGAGGCTACAAAATGAGCCTAGAAGGAGCTCAGTTAGATTATAAGGAGAAAAAATATTCCTTAAAGCATGGAAAAACTGTTAGAAGGTTCCCTCTTTTGTTTCTGTATTTTTTATTTTTTTTGCTTTAGTTGTGAAAATGCAAATTTTCCTTATTCTAGTTCTAGTTTTATTTCCTCTTTCTAATGTCAAAGCAGGAGCACCCCTCTTTGGCTACTGCATACATATAACATGACAGCCTTCTGCAGAAACTGATAAATAAATACAGAAACATGGATTATATCTACTGCTTAGATTTCAGAAGGAGAAATTTTTATATTTGAAGTTATTTGTAAATGATGCTTTACAAGAGCAGATGATGTGATAGGAATAAGAAAAGGGAGTGAGAAGAATGGGAACACATGCTATTATACAGGGGCATCTACTGATGAGTCTAAAGAAATTAGAATTTGCAAATCTTTTAAATATAGCTGTGAAATCTCTTGTTGCATCTCTTGTTGGAAATAATACTCTCTGAAAAATGTAATTCAGTTTTAATCAGAATAGTTGAGCTATGTTAAAATAGAACAATGAGTCCAAAAATATTAGGAAGTGGTTTAAACATTTTATATTACTATTACTGATTTTGTTAGTTTTGTGTTGTTGTTTTTTTTTCTGACCAGTCAGCGTTATAGATTGTGTAATTAGATTATACTAATTCCACAAAAGTATGCAAGCAAAAACTACCGGTAATAGTAGCAACAGGCATGGAAAGAATCCAATACGGCCATCTAGTGGTGATATTGTAGATTTATACACAAACGCAAAATTAACTATATAAGTAATATATATATATATAATTTATATATGTATATATATACACACACACGAGTCATGCTTTGGTTTTATTTCTGTCTTAGTTTTGGAATAATTACTCCCACTCCATGTTGCATTTACTTTCGTCAGTTCCACCTGTTTCAGTCCCTTTTATAAATCTTCCTCACCCTCCACTTGCAACATATACAATGTTTTGTAATTTATAAATGCTTTCAGAGTTTTGCTTCAGTGATGCTTCAAACTTTTGACTTTTTTACTCTGCAGATTTTTTCGACTTTATAATGGAAGTCAATGACCGAAAGTTTCTGGTACTAAAATGTGTCACTCTAGCATTTGAGAAGGTTTTGCAAATGCCAAAAAAAAAAAAAAAAAAAACTTCTCACCCAATCAATTTTTACTCAATCCAGATAAATATTATTTTTGTCTGGATTCAGGAAATACAATACAATACAAACCCATGGGAGAGTTTACAAAAATCAGAGCTGCAAATCCTAAACGACAAGTTTTCAAACTTCAGCCTCTTGTAAACAATTCAAAGGAGAGACATGAGGCTTGCGGTACTTACTCATCAGATCTTTCATGCACTAACATTGAAGGACAGTTTTGAAATGAGTTGGGGGTTTTTGAATGCTCAAAAAGGCCTTTCTCTGAAAAAGCTTTGAACTTGAATCGTTCAAACTGACCCCCTATTTACATCATCACCAAATTTTGTAGAAACATGAAAGTTGGCATATTTATTTGCCAAAGTCTCCTGATACTTACGGTCAAACAATAAAATCTGTATCTGTTATACTGATTTGATTTATTAATGATAGTTCAACATTAAGTTTGTGTTTATCAGGTTTCTGAAATTTCCTTCTTTTTCCACAGAGCCTTAGAAAATATTTTCCTCGAAAATAGGCCTAAAATATTGTTCCCCCTTCATTAAACGATGCAAAAATTACATTGATATGCCTTTTTATGCCAGAGTTATCAGCATTTGTTTGGGACATGATTCACCAAGCAATAAAACCAGGGACGGTAATTGGATAATGTTACCATTATTATTACTGTTCAGTTTAAAATTCTTTTCGGTAAAACGTTCTTAAACAGGGCCTACTTTTACTTTGAACAGTAAAACTGGATCCAACTTATTACATTATCTCATTCATCTAAGTTTGTTTTGTTCTCATGAAATAGAAATTTGTCAATTTTGTTGTTGAGTTTTATCTGTTGTCTGGGCACTCTGATATGTTATTTATCAAAGTCAGTTCTTACTGTATGTGTTGCACCAGGCTGATCGACAAGTTTATGCAAAAAGAGACTTAATATAAAGAAAAGATGATAGAAAATTAAACAATTAAAAGCAACATAGCATAGTGCCCTAGCTGCAGCTCTATGCATGCTGTGAAATAAAACTAACATTCCTGATTGAGGTTAGGCTTATACCGATTAATGAATTAGATAAATTATACAAGTTATCATTAATAACTAAGCAGTGATACTCTCAAGTGGAATTTAATTTGACATTTCAATTGTTTATATATTAACCCTAAAATATAAATAAAAACCCACTGACTAATAATTCACACCAACATACTAACATTAAATATGACAAATACAAAATGTATGCTCTTTTCAAAACTTGTTTCTGTTTTATACGAGAGGATGAACAGTAATGTATCTCTGCAAGTCACCCAGGGGTCTTTATAAAGCGCATATTGCCCATCACATTTAATGTTTATATTATTCAGAGTCATGATTAATTAAGGCATCATATATACATAAGTATGCATCTAGATTTATTACCAAGGGCTTCATGAAAATCTAGTCTGTCTTCAGTGATTTATTTGAAAAATATGTGCTTTCATTTTCCTGGTAGTACAGCGTGTTTAGTTTAGATCCACCCTGAACTGGTTTTGGCAGCTATTAGTTTTCGGCTACCTCTAAGTGCAGATTGGTCCCTGCCTGCCACCACTTTGAAAATGTTCTGGTGTTGCACGAGATGTAAAGGGGACTGATAAAGATGGCAGTATTTACATCTACATGCTGCCACCTAATGGTAACAGCTTCAAAAACCATTTAATTAGAAATATCCTATTTCTTTAGAGGGGCATGTGTTTTACATATATATATATTTTTTTTCTTTACTAATTTGAGGTTCTCTGCCTCTGGAGATAAATTATAGTGTATCACTTCCAAGTTACTCAAAGTTACATATTTCCATAATTTACTGTAAAAGTTTGTGCAACTCAGCTGTGAACGGACATTTACATAGTTCCTTGTAGGAAAGCAGCTTTTTTTTTAACATTTAACATATTTTCTTCTTGCCCTTTTTTGTTTTTTACCATACAGAAAAAAGAAATTATCTGTTTAAGCCCAAACAAAAATACATATGATACAAATAATGGCCAAAATGATGTGAACTTTATTTTAAAAGGGTTGTCATTTCTGACTGACCCAATAAAAAGGAACAGGTATGACTAAAACATAACAGTGTTTGCTAGTCTTTCTTTTTTTTTTGTCTTTTTAGTTTTATAAAGAGAACTTAATGGGCCACTACCAAACTGTTCTTTTAAAAATATTTGGTACAAATTATAATCTCATTTTATAGGCTTCAAAAACCATTTAATTAGCTACATCCAAACTTTTTCTTTAGAGGGGCATGTTTTATATATAAATATTACTAATGTGGAGCTAATCTCTTCCCATGGAGATAAATTTTAGTGTTTCACTTCAAGTTACTCCTTTTTTTCTGGCTGCTCAATGAGTTCCCCTTTGTGCTACTTCTGTCCTATTCCATAAGGGACATGTGCAGATATGGTTCCCAGTTTCTGGGCCCCCTCAATATGGTGCATCTGGTCATCAAAGAAGATATGAGGTCTGATCTTCTGCAGCAGGGGCCCCTTTGGAGCCCCAGCAAGGAAGAGGGCCTCATCAATTTCCAGGCCCCAGTTTCGGAGGGTCTTCAGGACACGAGCCCCAGAGCTCGCAGCACCACGAGAAGTGACCAGGAAGGTTCGTATCGGGCAATTAATACGTTGGTTCTTCTCATAAAATTTTCTCTGGAGGTTTCCAAGTGCCTCCAGGAAACCCTTCAATTGACCCTGTAGGAAGAACAGAATACAATTAATGTTGATTAAAACATTTTCATCTTGAGGTTTTCTATAATTTTATGATACAATCACAAAACTTCAGTGTATTCGTGATTCATCAAAAAGTGTTAAATAATTGTAAAGTTGCAGGCTCTCCACAGCTAGAGGTATTTCTTTGCTGCAAATCATCTAATCTTTTGGATAGAGAGCATTTATTAGCAGCAGTTAACAAATATTGTGAAACATTTGATTGTATTTACTTCTCTATGCTGACTTGGCCACTCAAAGATACAAGTATGCTTCAGTCTAAACTATTCCACTGCAGTATGTGAGGAGTGTACCTGTAAAATACTAGATAGTTTTAGAGCTTAGAGCTAATCTGTTAGCTGTTGTTTCGTCCTAGATGAAGCACCTAAAAGCTATTTTTCTCATAAAATCTACTATTTCTTAATGAAATACTCATGGAACAATATCACATAAAAAAAAAATAGATTTGTGGTTGTATCTAAATTTGTTGTTGTCGTATAATTGAACAAAATGCAAGAAGGAGAAAGCTCTGAAAACTTTTGCACATACTGTACAGCTGGCTAGACTACTTAATAACTGCTCTAGGAGGTGCAGTCTAGCCAGTCTAGCCTGTATGGGCACATTCAGGTGGTTATAACAGCAGAAATATAACTCCACATACAGGCTAGGAGAGTTACCAAATTCTTCTAATAAAGATAGAGAATATGACTCTCTGAGTTTAGCCAGCGCTAGAGAGAATTAAGAAACTTTAAAAGCTGTGGCTGCAACAAGAGTCCTTATATAGTTTTTTTTTATTTTATGTGTAAACAATTATAAACATGGGGTTGATAATGCTATATCAGAAATGTAGCATTTAGATGAATTTTTTACCTGAGCCAAGGGTGTGTTCTCGTTGTTTTTCTCATGCTCATTGAAACCGTCAAGGCCTTGTTGCTTATAGATCTTTTCTGACTCGTCTGAGAAAATGACGGCGTCACCATCAAACGCCACTCTTAGCTCAGTCTCACTCAGATCGCTTTCCTTTTGTGGCATAAACAGGGTACCTGCAGCAATTCCTATATGGTGTTTAAAGGGAAGCACCTTTAAGCTTTCTATTTCAAATTCTTTTCTGAAAATAGATCACTTGGGACAAACTTTTCATAATGTGTATGTATTAATGACATAAATTGTAATCCTACTCAGACCAGAATTTGCGTAGGGTTACAGATGGCAGCGCTTACCAACCGGGTCATGCCCAAATCACAGTTGAAGAAACATTTTATAAAAACTTCAGTATCATCATCATTACATTATCATATCATTACATCATAAACGTTTGTAAATGAGGGGACATCCATGGTCAAATATTACACTATGTTCTTAGATCAAGGCTATTTCCAATGCCCCATGAGAGATGGCTCCCTGTTAAGAGTCATCCACTCTGTCTTTGTACTTTCATTTAATTTTCAAATCTGTTATGTACATAATGAACATAATACCTGTAGATCCTGATAGAAGAACTGTTCTAATTAGATACACTGCTTGGGAAGACACCATTTTTAACACACAACAGGCAGGTATTATTATGATTTAACAGACTTACATATTAGCAATAAAAACAATCCTTTTTCCTTTTTGAGTTTATACAGCACTAGTGGCTAGTTTTTCTGACAGTGGGCTGACAGGAACGGGGGTATGAGAGAGGGGGATAGACATGCGGCAAAAGACCACAGGCCGGATTCAAACCTGGGTCGGCCGCAAGGAAGACAGAGTTTAAAATTTGTCCTACTCAGAGATAATGTCTTTAAACTAGTATGTAACATGTTTAGTGATCAGGTTATAATATAAAGAAAAACAGCTCCTCTTACCTTCATCTATAGCATCTTTGACCTTCTTTGAATCCTTAGAAAGGTAAAGGTTTGTCATGTAGGCCTGCAGGTAACCTATAGGACTTCTCCCTCCAGTCATACAGATTGTCTCTATGGTCAAACCTGGAACAGAATCAAAAACACAAGATATGCATGAAGAATAAAGGCCTAGTTTGAATGATCTTTCTCCTTGACTGTTTGCTGATGTAGGGAGGAGGTGAGACGTTGCTGAGCTGAACAAATAACATTATTGGTTAAGGAACGCAGCGTACCGTAGTGATTAATGCTGTTTCTAAAGCGTCGAACGTCTTTAGCATTGCTGCTAGTCATCAATATGATGTCAAACAGCTCCTCACTGTCAGGGTTAAGCTCCCTCAGTCGACTGTTGACATTCATGAGAGCCTGTAACACAGATCACACTGTTTGTAGTCAAGGCATAGCAACAATATTGAGACATTCCGGGTAAAACAGTTATTACAAAATGTTTTAGGAAGCAGTATAAAGAAGATGGATGGATGGATGGATGGATGGATGGATGGATGGATGGATGGATGGATGGATGGATGGATGGATGGATGGATGGATGGATGGATGGATGGATGGATGGATGGATGGAAACTGTTGAAAACCTGCGTTTCTCCATTACCCGCTGTTAAGTAACGTGTGAAAATCATCTAACAACAGGAAAGATGGTGTGTAACAACAAAGAAATAAGATATTCTGCACATTGTAAGAATAATTACTCATCTAATGCTCCATGTGCAGAGTAGGTTAGAGTTTTTTTTTGTTTTTTCATAACTTCACAACCACAACAAGTGACAGAAGCTACAATGCAGCACCTGCCTTAAAAGAGGAAAAAACAATAATTTGACAAATCAATTGTCTAGTACCTTCATATGATAAACTTCAGTTGTGAGTTAATTTATGATTCTCGTGATTCAAATTTAGGAGAATCCTGATTAAAAAGGCATCACTTGCATTCAATGAAAGTCAATGAAAAGTAAATCCTATATTGGTTAGAGTTAGTTTGTGAATGGAATAGCAAAAGGAACCTTTTGCTATCCATTTATTAATTAAATAAAATTACTGAGAGATTAAGAGATTAGCAAAATGATCGTTAGTTGCAGCCTTAATTGCCTTATATAAGCTCATACAAAGGGGAAAGCGATGATAATGTCTTGGATTAATTTATGGGTGGGTGAGACTGTTTATTTTTTCTTTATAGGAAACTATAGAAAGAAAAAAGAAGAAAAACATAATCTGGAAACTTTGTTTGGACACACACACATGCTGACACCCACATAAACAAAACTGTAGTTACAGTGTGTTGAACTGTCCGCCTTTTGTCAAAAAAAAAATATGGGGCACCAAACACTGTAACCAGCCCAGACCTGACATCCCCTTAAATATGCCCCAAGAAATTAAACTGTATTTATTGAATCGACTTTTGTTTTTCCAGCAGCACAATGATAACTTTTTGCCACTATCAAGAGTAAGCTACAAGTGGAATGCATTTAAAGGACCAACGCCTGCAGTTAAAACTGCTAATACAATATAATTATCACGTTTATACAATATAATTATCATGTTTATACAATATAATTATCACGTTTATACAGTATAACTATCACGTTTATACAATATAATTATCACGTTTATAAAATATACTATCACGTTTATACAATATAATTATCACGTTTATACAATATAATGAGCAAAAATATTTTTTCTCAAGTGACAGCAATACGCTTCCGCAGGTAGGGACAATTAGGTCAGTTCAAAATTCTGGTAGGGACATGTCCCTATGGTCCCTTTGCAAACCTACGCCCATTCCAGTTATGCCCAAACCAGTAAGGTGATCCCCATAACTGGTTTAACTTGTATTATCGAGTCAACACATCTTTTCATAGTGACTGTGTATAAATTACTTACTGCAGTTACATTCCACAACTACCCTGGTGAATATTCTAATGAGAACTTGCGTCACTGCTTATAGAAATGCCCATCAGTATTCCTTGCTTACACTTCCGTAATGTTGACTAGTTGCAGCTAGTTTCTGTACATTGTGGTCTTTTTTTTAAATCAGACACAAGAACATTTTTAATAAATAAAAATGAGCAAAATTAACCCAGAAGAACAAGCCAAACTTGAAGACAGAGCAAATGACAATTTGAAAGCGGTGAGTTTTTTTTTAACCTTGCTATTTATTACTTATTTTCAACAGTATGGCTTTTTTAACGAATCTGAACTATCAGTTTTTTTTTGTTTTGTTTTTTTCCTATATCATTGTCCGCCCAATCCCCAGAATGCTGTAACCATCGCTGTATCCTCTCGCACCCTCTTCAACATGGTGGAGGAGGGGGAGATCTATGACAAAGGTCTGGAGGGCTACGTTAAATTTCAGATGGAACATGAAAACGAGCCTTTGAAACCTGGACCTGCATTTCCCTTTGTTAAGGTAGGCCTGGTCTCTGGGAGTGGTTAGCAGTTTTAACTGCAGGCGTTGGCCCTTTAAATGCATTCCACTTGTAGCTTACTCTTGATAGTGGCAAAAAGTTATCATTGTGCTGCTGGAAAAACAAAAGTCGATTCAATAAATACAGTTTAGTTTCTTGGGGCATATTTAAGGGGATGTCAGGTCTGGGCTGGTTACAGTCTTTGGTGCCCCATATTCTTTTTTTGACAAAAGGCGGACAGTTCATCACACTGTAACTACAGTTTTGTGTGTGTGAGCGTGTGTGTGTATGTGTCCAAACAAAGTTTCCAGATTATGTTTTTCTTCTTTTTTCTTTCTATAGTTTCCTATAAAGAAAAAATAAACAGTCTCACCCACCCATAAATTGATCCAAGACATTATCATCACTTTCCCCTTTGTATGAGCTTATATAAGGCAATTAAGGCTGCAACTAACAATCATTTTGCTAATGTCTTAATCTGTCAGTAATTTTATTAATCAATCAATTAATAATCGGATAGCAAAAGTTTCCTTTTGCTATTCCATTCATAAACTAACTCTAACCAATATAGTATTTACTTTTCATTGACTTTCATTGAATGCAAGTGATGCCTTTTTAATCAGGATTCTCCTAAATTTTTAATCATGAGAATCTTAAATTAACTCACAACTGAAGTTTAACATATGAAGGTACTAAACAATTGATTTGTTAAATTATTGGATTTTCCTCTTTTAAGGCAGGTGCTGCATTGTAGGTTCTGTCACTTGTTGTGGTTGTGAAGTTATGAAAAAAACAAAAAAAAGTTTCCATCCATCCATCCATCCATCCATCCATCCATCCATCCATCCATCCATCCATCCATCCATCCATCCATCCATCCATCCATCCATCCATCCATCCATCCATCCATCCATCCATCCATCCATCCATCCATCCTCTTTATACTGCTTCCTAAAACATTTTGTAATAACTGTTTTACCCTCATGTGGAATGTCTCAATATCATTGCTTTGCCTTAACAACAAACGGTGTGATCTGTGTTACAGGCTCTCATGAATGTCAACAGTCGACTGAGGGAGCTTAATTCTAACAGCAAGGAGCTGTTTGACATCATATTGATGACTAGCAGCAATGCTAAAGACGTTCGACGCTTTATTAACAGCATTAATCAATATGGTACGCTGCGTTCCTTAACCAATAATGTTATATGTTCAGCTCAGCAACGTCTCACCTCCTCCCTACATCAGCAAACAGTCAAGAAGAGAGATCATCAGAACTAGGCCTTTATTCTTCATGCCTATCTTATGTTTTTGATTCTGTTCCAGGTTTGACCATAGAGAAATTCTGTATGACTGGAGGGAAAAGTCCTATAGGTTACCTGCAGGCCTACATGACAAACCTTTACCTTTCTACGAATGAAAAGAAGGTCATAGATGCCATAGAGGGAGGTAAGAGGAGCTGTTTTTCTTTATATTACAACCTGATCACTAAACATGTTACATACTAGTTTAAAGATATTATCTCTGAGTAGGACAGATTTTAAACTCTGTGAGAAGCTTTTATTACTGGCTAGGAGGTGTATTTTCAAGCAGTGGATAAGCAAATTCCCCCAACTGTAACACATTGCTACCAAGAAAGGAAAAAATTTTACCCTTAGAAAAACTTACTTCACAGAAGAAGGGGATAAAGAACATGGTTGGCCTTTCTGTTGTATTTACCTGTGCTGCTCCGGAAATGGTAAATAAGGGGAGTTATGTTTTTGACTGGAAAGTCTCCTCTGGACTGTGATGGACTGGCGATGGACTGGCGATATTTGCTGCTTCTATTCTCCCGTTCTTCCACTCTTTGCATCTGGCTTGATTTTAATAGACTATCTAACTGTATATGTGTTTATATTTATTCTACTGAATTTATTGCAGTTTTCATCTTTTAAATTTGAATTTGACTAATTATTTCTATCTAATTTTTTTATCCTCTTATATCAATGTTATGCATCCCATCTTATGTAATTTCCTCTTTTTATTATTATTTAATTTTATTACTATCTTTGTTTTCACTGTAATGACAAGAGAAGGAAACGCATGTGTACAGGATGATTTGTGGAAACTTGGGGGGTGTCTGTGGGTTTGCATGATGGTTTTGGTCTTCTGTCCTTATAAAATAACAAAAAGACCAAATTTTCTAGAATTTTAAGAGTAGAAAACATTTTAATACCTTTAACTTGTCTTGTCGCTTCACAAATATCCACTACCTTGTGTTTATTTATCTCATAAACACATAACAAAATACATTTGTGATCATAACCTCCCAAAATTGGGAAATATTAATTAGGTAGGAATGCTTTTGTAATTTTCTGTATTAGTTATTTATAGCAGCTTGACAAGGTCTTCAAACCTTAAGTCAGCATTAGCTCAACAGATAAGGCTGATGATTGCCTGCAGCAGAATCTCAAAAACAAAATGTTCTGAGGAAGATGCTATTAAAAAAAGAAAAACTGTTTTTTACCCCCGTTAGGATTATTTTAATTGGGCATGCCGGTGGAAAAGTGGTTAGCCCTGGTTGCGGCCGACGTGGGTTCGAATCCGGCCTGTGGTCTTTTGCCGCATGTCTATCCCCATCTCTCATACCCCCCTTCCTGTCAGCCTACTGTCAGAAAAACGAGCCATTAGTGCGGTATAAACTCAAAAAAGAAAAAGGATTGTTTTTATTGCTAATATGTAAGTCTGTTAAATCATAATAATACCTGCCTGTTGTGTGTTAAAAATAGTGTCTTTCCAAGCAGTGTATCTCATTAGAACAGTTCTTCTATCAGGATCTACAGGTATTATGTTCATTATGTATATAACAGATTTGAAAATGAAATGAAAGTAAAAAGACAGAGTGGATCCTTGATCTAAGAACATAGTGTAATATTTGGCCATGGATGTCCCCTCATTTACAAACGTTTATGATGTAATGAAATGATCATATAGTGATCATGATGATGATACTGCAGTTGTATAAAATGTTTCTTCAACTGTGATTTGGGCATGACCCGGTTGGTAAGCGCTGCCATCTGTAACCCTAAGCAAATTCTGGTCTGAGTAAGATTACAATTTATGTCATCATCTCTTGTCATGTCTCATGGTTATTTAATACATACAAATTATGAAAAGTTTGTCCCAAGTGATCTCTTCTCAGGAAAGAATTGGGAATAGAAAGCTTAAAGGTGTAAACAAAAAGCTTCCCTTTGTACCCCATATAGGAATTGCTGCAGGTACCCTGTTTATGCCACAAAAGGAAAGCGATCTGAGTGAGACTGAGCTAAGAGTGGCGTTTGATGGTGACGCCGTCATTTTCTCAGACGAGTCAGAAAAGATCTATAAGCAACAAGGCCTTGACGGTTTCAATGAGCATGAGAAAAACAACGAGGACACACCCTTGGCTCAGGTAAAAAATTCATCTAAATGCTACATTTCTGATGTAGCATTATTAACCCTATGTTTATATTTGTTTACACATAAAATTTAAAACTACATAAGGACTCTTGTTGCAGGCACAGCTTTTAAAGTTTCTTAATTCTCTCTAGCACTGGCTAAACTCAAAGAGTCATATTCTCTATCTTTATTAGAAGAATTTAATAACTGTCCTAGCTTGCACGTGGACTTATATTTCTGCTCTTATAACCACCTAAATGTGCCGATACAGGCTAGACTGGCTAGACTCCACCTCCTGGAGCAGTTATGAACTAGTCTAGCCAGCTGTACAGTATGTGCAAAAGCTTTAAGACCTCTCCACCTTCTTCCATTTTGTTCCATTATACAACAACAACAAATTTAGATACAACCACAAATCTATTTTTTTATGTGATATTGTTCCATGAGTATTTCATTAAGAAATAATAGATTTGATGAGAACAATAGCTTTTAGGTGTTTCATCTAGGAAGAAACCACAGCTAACAGATTATCTGTAAGCCCACCAAAACTATCTAGTATATACAGGTACAATCCTCACATACTGCAGTGGAATAGTTTAGACTGAAGCATACTCGTATTGGCCAAGTCAACATGGAGAAGTAAATAAAATCAAATGTTTTACAATATTTGTTAACTGCTGCTAATAAACACTCTCTATCTAAAAGGATGAGATGATTTGCAGCAAAGACATACCTCTAGTCATGGAAAGCCTGTATTGACATATACTATAGCATTCACAGCTGTTATATTGATTCAGGAAGATAAAGTAAAAAACAAACAAAAAATGTTAAAGCATGTCTTTTTCCTGCAACTTTACAATTATTTAACACTTTTTGATGAATCAAAAATACACTGAAGTTTTTGATCGTATCATAAAAATATAGAAAACATCAAAATAAAAACGTTATAACCAACATTAATTGTATTCTGTTCTTCCTACAGGGTCCATTAAAGGGTTTTCTGGAGGCACTTGGAAACCTTCAGAGAAAATTTTATGAGAAGGACGAACGTATGAATTGCCCGATACGAACCTTCCTGGTCACTTCTCGTGGTGCTGCGAGCTCTGGGGCTCGTGTCCTGAAGACCCTCCGAAACTGGGGCCTGGAAATTGATGAGGCCCTCTTCCTTGCTGGGGCTCCAAAGGGGCCCCTGCTGCAGAAGATCAGACCTCACATCTTCTTTGATGACCAGATGCACCATATTGAGGGGGCCCAGAAACTGGGAACCATATCTGCACATGTCCCTTATGGAATAGGACAGAAGTACCACAAAGGGAAACTCATTGAGCAGCCAGAAAAAAAGGAGTAACTTGAAGTGAAACACTAAAATTTAACTCCATAGGAAGAGATTAGCTCCAAATAAGTAATATTTATATATAAAACATGCCCTTCTAAAGAAAAAGTTTGGATGTAGCTAATTAAATGTTTTTTGAAGCCTATAAAATGTGATTATAATTTCTACCAGATATTTTTAAAGCACAGTTCCATAGTGGCCCATAAAGTTCTCTTTATAAAACTAAAAAGAAAAAAAAAGAAAAAAAAAAAGAAAGACTAGTTAACACTTTTATGTTTTAGTCATACCTGTTCCTTTTTATTGGGTCAGTCAGAAATGACAACCCTTCTAAAATTAAGTTTAAATCATTTTGGTTATTATTTGTATCATGTATATTTTTGTTTGGGCTTGATCAGATTATCTCTTTCTTCTGTATGGTAAAAAAAACATTTTCTTCTTGCACCTTGCATCTTTAAAAAGCTGCTTTCCTACTTTTTGTGTTAACATGCTTGCTGTAGATCATAAACAACTTAAAATCTCTGTTCTTGGTATTGCTTTTGCTTGTTACCTTGTTTTCAACTTGCGCAGGTGACACAGGGCAAAACTACATGTGAAAGCTTGCAGACAGCATATGTCATGCTACAGAATTATGCAAATGTGAGTTTACAGCTGAGTTGCACAAACTGTTACAGTAAAATGTGGAAATATGTAACTTGGAGTAACTTGGAAGTGATACACTATAATTTATCTCCATATAAATGTTTGTATCTGGAGCTTGTAACAAAAGTAATTTCCCAATGGGATTATTAAAGTATTTCTGATTCTGATTCTAAAAACAGTAAAATTTCAGCGGAAATTTTGAGGTTTTACATTCATTTCAATGTCCTGAATAAGCTGAACATTGTGAATAATTACTGTTTCTGTATAGTTTTTTGTGCTATGTCAGTCGTACAACCCCTAACAACCTAGTAGTGACATGATTTCGGATCAAGACTCTGGCGCAGCAGCAGTAAGTACGACAGGAGAACAGAGTTTATTTGAAGGGTTTTTATTGTTCAGACTGGAAGCAGAGAAAACAGGAAATCCAATGTGGTGTCTTACTGCAAAACAGGTCAGGTGATCAGTATGAGTTCCAGCTGATGTTGAGATGAACAGTGAGGGCAGACTTACTTCTCAGGGCTTAGAAACAGGCTGAGAGGAAGAGCAACAGTGTCCACAGAGAGGGGGTGAAGACCTTGGAGTTACCAGGTTCTTTGGGCGTTGGAGGGTGGACAGGCAGGTGAGCTCAGCTTTAGCGGATCTTAAGAGAAAGCTCTTGGGGAGGAGTGGAAAGCGCCGTTGAGGGAGGAACAGGAGCCAGCCTTCAGCAGGAGGAAAACTAAAGGAAAACATAGACAAGACTGGTAAGTAAGACTATCAGAACAAGTTCAACTAACTTGAAAGTCTTGAAGAGGGACCCAGTTACCACTGGTATAGGTAACCATCTGTCGTCTGCCTCAGGGAATCCACTCCTCTAAATACTGCTTCCTTGATTGTGGCTGATGAGTAACAGCTGGGAGCCTCACCTGCCTGGCACACCCTGAAAATGAAGGTGAGAAAACAGAAACAAAAACTCCAAACCAAAGCAGTTCTGTGGACACAACAAGTAGGTGGTTACCAGGGACTCTAAAGGCCGAAGAGGAATCTGCA